AGCGGCCCCTGGGGTCCAGTTAGACAACATAATAGCAGTTGCTGCTTTCAGAATTATGAGCTTCTTAATCCTCCCAGTGAGAAGTAAAAAAAAAGTGTGAACACTAAAATTGGACTCCTGGATTTAAGTGGCTTAAGCAAGGGCCCCAGGAGAATGGAAAGCTGATAATAGCTCCTGTGTGTTAAGCAGCTACCATTTGGCAGGTAGCTGCCTCTGTGACCCTTGTGGCAGCCCTGCAGGTATGAGATACTGCCCCATTTTGCAGATGTGGAAAATGAGGCTAAGAGTGAGGAAGCGGTGGTCATGAGGTCACACAATCCTAGTGCAGCAGAGTCAGGATTTGAATTTGGGTCTGACCCTTCTGCCCACATGCTTTCTTTGGAAGGAATATTAAGTAAAAAACTATGAGATTTGGGTTATAGATCTAGCCCACACAGCAGGTGCATAATAAACGTTTGTTGAATGCATGAATGAATCAACAAAGTGGGTGTGTCCCTGGGCAAGTTGCTTCACAGAATCACAAACACACACACTCACACATGAGTGTGCACTTACACATACAGACCCCAGCGTTAGTTTCCTCTTACTAAAATTTGGTCTTTACTTTGCCCATTTGTATTACCTTCTTGGACCTGATATGCATTTGAGTTTGTGACTTCAGGAATAGAGATTTATTTTTATGAACCCAGAATTGTGATACTTTTTAGTAATTTGCAGTTCATTACTAGCCTCTGGTCTAAACTCTCGTTACTCAAAGCGTGGTTTCCGGTCCTGCCACGTCAGCAGCACCTAGCAGCTTCCTCGACCTGCAGACTTGAAGTCTGCCTCTTAACGAGGTCCCCAGGCCGGTCCTGTGCACGTCAAGGTTCCAGGTGCGCTGCTCGACACCGTTCTCTTTCTTCCTTGCACCTCGTTATAATTATAACTAAGGACTTATCTACGTCATTATGTGTTTGCCATCCATCTTCCCTAAATGGGAGGGTCCACGAGGGCAGGGACCCTGACTACTTTTGCTCACCTAGTGTAACCCAGGTGAGTTCACCCCAGAGGCTCTGGCCATCCATTTAACTAATCCTTCTCCCTTCACCCATGGGAGGCTGGGGAGGAAGAGGAGGCTTAGAGTTTCAAATCGAGAAGTAAGCAGAGGAGGCTCTTTGCCCCTCTCCACTTGAGAACTACCTGCCCCATTTTATGTGCCAGCCTCATCCCCGGAGACACACGGTGAGCCTTGGAGTAAATGGATTTGTCTATGTTGAGTCAGGTCACTGGCAACATGGATGTGAGTCACTATTAATGACTCCTTCATTGACCTTAGCCTCGTTCGCCTTGGCAAGTTCAGGTTAAGAACGAGGTTAAGAACAGGAATCTGTGATCAGTGGGAAGTCCGTTTCCATCTACCAGGCACCAGATCCCACAGATATCAAAGGAGCTGCTGCTGCTGCTGCTGCTGCTGCTGCTGCTGCTGCTGCTGCTGCTGCTGCTGCTGCTGAATATGGTATCTTCACCACCCCGAAGATGCCTGGAGCTACCTGAAGAGTGAAGTCAAAAGGTTATCTGCCTGTTGTACTGATGGCCCGTGTTTGTTAAGGGGTGACCATGAGCAGTATGACTGCTCCCCCTAGATTGACATCATATTTGACACCCCACACCCACTGCCGGGGTCTGTAACACTTTGGCATCATGGAGGGACTTGTGGCCACTGTTCATATTCTCTTTACCCCTGCTGGCGAGCTGTGGCACAATGGCCATTTGGCTATCCAGAGCATCATGCCTGCATTTAGTGGCATTGCCAAGGCTCTGGGCAAGACCATTCCCGAGCTGCATGGGAAGTTTGCTGGCGAGGCTCACGTGTCTCTCTGAATGTGTCTGGCTCCAACTGCCTTCTGGAGAAAGCTCTCAAATACAGCGGCATCCAAAAGTGGTGAAGCGGGCAGCTGGGGCATCATCGAAAGACATCCTGGGCAACACTGAGGTTGTCAAACAGTGATGCCCACTCCTCCACCTTTCACATCGAAGCCAGCATTGCCCACAAGCCCACTTCTTGGTATGTACTACTTTTGCTCACCTAGTGTAACCTTGGTATGTACTACTTTTGCTCACTTCTAAGTGTAGGTGGCCCCTGGTCCTCTTAACCTCTGAGAACTGACAGCCATGGACCACAACAAGAGCACCAGACGAAGAGGCTCTTCGCTCCTGGGAATCTTGGCTCCGCATCCATGTTCATCCTTGACACAGTCCCACCTCAGGCCCCAAAGAAAGGAAGGAGCTTGAGAGCCCTCCACTGTCACATGCCAGCAGGATTCTCAATGAGGTGTACACCGCCCTTATCTGGGTAAACAGGAAGAAGAGAGGGAAGAAGATCATTCCACATATAATCCACTCGTTTTTTGGATTCTCAATTCCCAACTGTCCCATCATGAAAAAGTTAAATGCAATACCAACTTTTTAGAACAAGGACAACCAAAAAAAAATATAATAAGATGAAAGCCTGAGCTTTTCCAAAATCACACAATCTGCAAACGGAAAATCTGTTTGCACTTTCTGAATGCCTAATTCTCATTTGCACAGTCTTGCGGCCAGGTTGGTGGGGGCGGGAAGGGAAAAGAGTACAGGTTTGCACAGCAGGAGACTGAGACCTGCCCATGTGCGGAAGGCAGAGCTCAGCAATTCAGAGGGACAGAGGTGGAGTGGGGCGAGCATGCAAATCGTGGTGGGGCGGTTGTGGGGAAGACTCTCTCTTCGAATTTATAGAATGCCAAGTTAATCTCAGCCCATAGGAATGTTTCCGTAGATTTAGATTTTTATGAATATTTACACATTTATTAAAGAAAACATATTCAAAATGTTTAATTCAGTAACTTATGTACCAAACGCACTCAAGTCACTGGCTTTTACCAATAATGAGACCGTGGCTACTTCAGAATGAGACAGTTCATTCTCTAGTCCTGGGGGAGGATGAAGACGGCTGCATGAGGCCCTGCCTGGGGCAGCAGACCCCCAGTAGGGAAATTAGTTGTGTGAGCACCTACTATGCACTAGAGGCTGCCTTTGGCATTAGACCACGGCCATTCCAACTTCCTTTTAATTCAACACAGTAAATGTTTTTACAGTACCATTTAGCACACACACACACACACACACTACAACACACACACAACACATTCTGACTTCTATAACTGGAACAAAAGTTTTGCTCAATTCCTTCTTACATAGGCAATACCTGTTGTTGTTGTCTATTCTATTTTACTTTTGAATCCTCGCTGTAGTTCTCTAAGTGGACTTTAGGACTCCCACCCTCATCCCAGTGGTTTGGGACTCAAATAAAATTAACTCAGCCAGAGAGGTGATTAAGAGAATGGACTTGGCCCTCAAATAACCCTTGGGTTCAGCTGCCAGGTCCTCCTGTGCCCACAGGCTGTGCGGCTTGAACGAGGCACTTAGCCTTCCCCAGTGTCTTCATCTGCCCAGCGGGGAGAATACCGTTGCCTGCCTTGTGCTGTTGTTGTGAGGACTGAATGAGATCATGCATATAAGCAATGAACTCAGGGCCTGGCACATAGTGCACTTCTGTGTGGATGCGAGTTGCTCCGATGATGATTATCATCATGGGCTGCAGTGTCCTGGTTGCAAAGACAAACCCTGGGGCCAGAGCACCTGGGGTCCGATCACAGATCCACCCCTTATGATCTGCATGGCCTTGAGTGAGTTACTTAAACTCCCTGTGTTTCCAGTTCTTCATCTGTAGCATAAGGACCTGACTAGAACTCTCTTCATGGGGTGATTGTGTGGCTGAAAGTAATTAATCCAGGTAACATATTTAGAAGAGAGCTTGGCACATAATGAGCACTGGGTAAATCATTGATATCACCATCATCTTCTCATTTACTCCTCACCCATCCTTGTGAGATCAATATTTTCCCCAGTTTTACAGGAGGGAACTCTGAGGCCCAGAGGCTCTAGGCAACCTGCCCAAAGATGCTCATTTCTACTGGGTGGTAGAGTTGAAATTACAAGTTGGTCTTCTGAGCCTCCAGCTCAGGGGCTGAGAGAGGCTCAGAGCTCTGGGGACCTGGAACATTTCTCAGGAGACACAAGGACACCCAGCCACTGCCCTACATACCAGGGAGTGTGAATTGGCAGGTTGGTACAATCGATAGACATGTCATCTAGTATTTTCCGGTCTCCACAATGAGGACATTGAGTTGTACTGCAAAAGATGACATAGCAGTAAACTGTCCATTTGTAAAATTATCCTCTCGCAAACATCTCTCCCCACATAATTCTGTCACATTTTTGTCACCTCCTGCATTATCATCTCGTCTCGATGGTTGGATGCTTTGTGCCCAGGGATAGTTGAACCAGGACCTCAGGCCACTTCCCACTCTCTCCTCCACATGCTAGCTGGAGCCTAGGAGATGATCCAAGATGTCCCTTGCCCCAAGTGCTGGGGCCAGCCCCACCTGAACCCCATGGACTGAAACTGGGGAGGCATCAAAATGATGTCATGAGAAGAAGGGAAATGGATGTTGGATAATCTAAACCAGCCATTGTCTGCCATTCTTCGAGGCGGGGAAGGGCGTGGTTTTCCACCCAGGAGTGGAAACGGCGCCAGTTTGGGAGTCAGGAAACCAAGTTCAGGTCCCGGTTGCGCTGCTGTCTAGTCATGTGACCTGGCTCAAGCACATTTCTTTCTGTCCCTTTGGCCTCGGTTTCTCTATCTACACAGTGGGTGGGGGGATGGATTCCACTCTGATGTTTCGAGATGCCATAGAGTCTTTCTCTGTAGTCCTTCAACTAGTACCTGGAGACAAAGCTCACCCAGAAAGAGTTTTCAAGGAGAGTGCTAAGATGTTGTGCCTCAGATAAGCTCTTGTGGTTGAGAAAGTCCCTGGCAGCCGATCTCTAAATTTCTTCCCGCTTAAGCCGGTACCTGAAGTCACGGCTTTTTGGAGCATCACTCTGACAGCTAAAGCCCTTCAAATTTGTCTTTCCCCCTCCAGGCATCACCACATCGGCCCTTCCTCGTGTGTCCCAGTTCTTGGCGAGGTGAGTACCCTTGCCTTGTTTCCTCATGCCCTCTCCCTTCGTCTTTCTTGGGTGACAGGTATCTGGAGAGGAATCACAGGGCCAGCACTTACTAGCTGAGCTACCTTGAGCAAACAACTCTATCTCCCTGGGCCTCAGTCTCCACGTCCGGAAAAAGGGGACAAGCATGATGCCTGCCCCATGAAGCGAGCTAAAACGTGTAAAAAGCACCTAGAAGGGTGCCCGGAACAGTGTTTGAGAGCGTCGGCTGTTGTTTTTGTGTTTCTTCTCTTCATTCTTTTTTTCAGTTTTTCTTCCTTTCCTTCTCTCCTTTCCTGTGCATAGACTCTTTCTCGACCCCTCCCTCCCCTCCCTTCTTCTCTATCTCTCCCTCTCTTTTTAGCTTTTTCCTTTCCTCTCCCTCCTTTTCTCTTTTCCTTATTTCTCTCTCTCCTTCCCTTTTTCTTTGTCCTCTCTCTCTACCTTTCCCTTCCACCGTCCTCCCTCCCTGTCCTTCTCCCTCTTCCCCTCTCCTTTCATCCCTTCATCCTGCTTTAACGTTCACCCAGCACTCCTCAGCACCACGCCCTAGAGACCCAGCAGTCTCTGCCCTCAGAGAGCTTTCGATCTAGTGGGGGAGACAGACCAGCGAACCAGACCCCAGCACAGCTGGCAGGTGTGCACAGGGGCAGCGGGAGCTCAGCGCAGCTTACCCAGGGCCCTTAGGGGCCTGACCTGGGGGAGCTGCCAGTCTGCACCCCGTAACAGGAGAAACCCTGGGTTTGGCCTGGCCCAGTGATCAGCACCGCCATATCTGGCCATGTTCTTCCCTTGATGACACTGGAGAAGTTATTTCTAAGGAACACACTTTTTCAGCCGTCCTTTCCCTTGGGAAGATGTTTTGGGGATTGTTAGTAGCAGCTGAGGCCTTTTTAATCTTTCTAACTTGTTTATGACCTCAGGACTAGAAAGTTTCCTGTCCTTTCTCTGGGTTTTCATTTTAGACCCCATTTAATCCAAGTAGGGTTTTTTGAAAGGAAACTGGAGTTGACCATCTTTGATTTCTACTTGCTATTTCTAAGGACAAGTGTAAATTGGGGACATTTTCAGATAAGGTTCTCTGCTAAGTCCCGGCTCACTGGATGTGTTTCCAGACACCTTACGGAGCGTGTGATGATCTTGCATCATGTGCTCACCTCCTGGCTAAGAGCAGGGCATCTCGATTGCCCTATCAAAGCTGCAGTAAACTGGGAAGGTGTCTAACTTAAGGTAGATGATCGGGCTGGGATAGGCTGTGCTTCAGTAATCAATAAACCCTGCCCTCAGTGGCTTAACACACCAGTGTTTGTTTTTTCCTCACATAAAGTCTGGTGTGGATCAGGTGGAACTCTCCAGGGCAGCTCTCCTCCACACACAGATGCAGGGATCCAGGATGTGTCCATATTATGGCTCTGCCATCTCAATCTGTGCCCTCCACAGTTGCTTCCGAAAGAGGAGAGCAAGCAGAAGGGTCATAGGGGATGGTTTTATTAGCCAGACCTGGGAGCGGCTTATACATTCTACTGGATAAAACCCAGTCACGTGGTCAAATCTGACTGCATAGGAGACAGGAAATGTAATCTTCCTGCTGCCCAGGAAAAGGGAAAATGAAATGGTTTTGATGAACACGAAAGTTCTCTGCCCCAGAGAGAGTAAATATTGAAAGGAAAATGGTGGCGTTGATACCAAAATAAGGTAGAATGGATGCTGGGTTGGGCTTGGGGATTTAATCTACTCTCTTTCCATGCAGACCTTGCCCACGTGTCCTGCCCAGCCAGCCACCCACGGCCATGGCAGCCTACAGCCAGACACAATATAGTGCTGGGATCCAGCAGGCTGCCCCCTACACAGCTTACCCACCTCCGGCACAAGCCTATGGGATACCTTCCTACGGTGAGTGCCAGTCCAAGCCCTTGCTTTCCCCCTGGGGTCCCCAACATCATCATCTTTCTTCTGTCCTGTTGCCTCAGTTAAATGCAGAATGGTAAATGCAGCCAGCCGAATTTTGTATCAGAGATAGAGAAGGACAGGCACTTTAAATATGGTTCGAATTCTGCAGACTATATCAAGGCATCTTTTTATTGTAAGAGTAAGAAACTTAGCCCAAGCTGGCTTAGAGAAAATAGAAATTTAATGAATCACATTCTAGGAAATCTAACATCAGGAAGGACTAAGGTGCTCGGATGATATAAAGAAAAACACATCTCGCCCCCTGTTCAGATGCTTTCCTCTGAGTTGATTTTACTCCCACACAGGTTCTTCCCATGTGGCAGCAAAGATGGTGCCTATTGATTCTAGATTTGCATCCTTTCAGCTCAGCACTCCCAATGAAAGGAGAACTCATTTCTCTCAGTAGTTCCACCAGAATCCCATATTGACCCTCATTGGTGCAAATGAGTCATGTGACAATACTTAGAGCAAGGCAAGGAGGTGGGGGTGAGAGAGATGAGCAGCATGGACCATATGGAGTGTGTATGAGGGAGGGATAGTTCTCTCAAAGGAAAACACAGTGATGGTGTCAATAGGAAGATAGATGCTGGGGAGGCAAAAACAACAGACCTGCAGCCTTTGACCATCAGAGCCTGACTCAGTCCGCTGTCCACTGCTCACTTGTCCCTATCTGCATTAGTCAGGGCTCTCCAAAGAAACAGGACCAATGGGATGGAGATAGATAGATGATGGATGGATGGATGGATGGATGGATGGAGACAGAGACAGACAGAGAGAGAGAGATTGTAGGAATTAGCTCACCCAATTATGGAGACGAAGAAGTTCCAAGATCTGCAGTTAGCCAGCTGGAGACCCAGGAGAGCCCATCGTGTCATGATACGCAGGCACGATATAAAGGAAGAGAAGGCTGTGAGAAAGAAAGAACAAGAAAGACTTAATTTAGTTGCCAGTGCCAGGCAGCCCTTTTAGATGAGGGGCTGGCTCTGCGGGGAACTGAGAGGATCACGTGCAGGCCCAGGGGGGTGAACATCTAGGCAGTGGGGATTGCCATGGGGACTCCCAGGGACTGGAAGGGACTTGGCAAGTCCAAGAAGCCCAGTGGCTGGGACTCAGTGGGGAACGAGGTAAGTGAGGAGGGCAGCACCCGAGAGGCCTAGGAGGGATTGGGGATTTTATTCCAAGTGAGATAGGAACTCTGATTGGCACGTGCATAAGCAGAGGGCTGTAGGATACAAGCTGGGTGTTTTTCAGGTCCCTGTGGCTACTGTGGGGAGGTGGGAAGCAGAGAAGAAACAGGAAAGGCAGTTGGCAGACTGATAAAACCTGGAGTGAAGTGTTGGTGGAGGCCAGGGACAGGGCAGTGACAAACAGAAAATGAAGAGTAATTCTAGAGGTAGCAGTGACTAGTCCTGTGGGGCCTCAGGTCAAGCACTCACTGGTAGTCACCATCGCTGAGCTGCTGCCACCCGCAGTCCTCAGTGCTATGTGTACACTAGTTCCTTTAATCCCCCCTCAACCCTGCGAGGAAGGGCCCATCATTATCCTCTTTTGAGGGATAAATAGTGGAGGCTCAGAGAGGGTGAATGAATACTTTTCCAAGCTCACCCAGCTGGTCAGCAGCAGAGGTGGAATTAAACCCTGGCAGCCTGGCCTTGGGGTCCAAGCCCAAGACCAAGCTCCATTGCCAGAGTGCACATTCCATAAATCCTAGGGGATTACCTGTGACAGACCTTAGCCAACAGGTGTGGGTATCGTTTTTAACTTTCTGTCCCTCTCATGCTAGAAGACTTGTGATACAATCATACGTAAGTTACCCCGCCTGGCTGACAGCCAAGAAAAATGAAGCCATATTCTTTTTCGGCAGAAAAGAGAACACTAGCCCTGTTCCCAGACAAAACATGGCATCGGGTGGAAATTAATTTGATTCAAAATCATGTCGTGGTCTCAGTTACTTTTAAAGAGTCTGTTCTCTAACAACACAGCATAGGTGGTAAGAGCGTGCACACATCCAACTCACACCCACTGCTGCCCCTTGCTCGTCTAAGCCCATGCCTGGCTGAGTTTCCTCATTCAGACAATGACCGATGCTAAGTCTGCCCTCCACACAGTTCTGAGGATTCAATGAGATTGTCTGCATTGGTTCAGCTACCTTGTTCTGTAAAAGGCCAGATAGTAAATATTTTTGGCTTCATGGGCTATTCAGTCTTGGTCACAACTACTCAACTCTGTTCTTGGAGCATGAAAGCAGCCAGACGATATGTAAACTAGTGAGTGTATTTGTGTTTTAATAAAACTTCATCTACATGAGCAGGCAGTGGCCTAGATTTGGCCCACGGACCATAATTTTTCAGCCCTTGGTCTGTATGAAGGGCTTAGCTCACAGGGCCTGGCCTAAGGGAAATATTCAATCAGACTGCCACACACACCCAGAATGTCCTTGTCACTGGATGATGACAGGTGAGATGAAAAGCCATTTCCCTTCACACATGCCTGTGCCCAAGCAAGCAGTTTGCTCATTGTCTGGACAAACCTTGTTAAGTCTTGATAGGAAACTTTTCTCATTGCTCCTTGGCAAATAGCATTATTACCTTTTTTAAATAGTTGCAGGGAAATAACACAATCGAGTAAACTAGAAGCTAGGAGGTTAGGAGTAGCGAGTATTTTTTCTCAATTTACTATGAAACATTTAAGGACACATGTAAAACCATAAAGAGTAACACTGCGAATACCCATGGACTGACCATGCAACTTAAAAAATAAAAAATAGAGAGAGGTCATTTCCTTTTCTTTACAGAGATACCCACAGCCCTGGATTTGCTGTTTATCCTTCCTCTGTTTATCATTACATTATGTAGAATAGGGGGCAGCAGACTTTTACTGTGAAGAGTCTGATAGTAAATATTTTTGGCTTTGCAGGCCATCCAGTCTCAATCACAACTACTCAGTTCTGCCGTGTAGCTCAAAAGTGCCACAGATAATACATAAATGAATGGATGTGTCTGTGTTTCAACAGAACTTTATTTACAAAAACAAGCAACAGGTCATATTTAGCCCATGAGCCATAGTTTGTAACCTCTGAGGTAGAGTATTATTTTGCATGTTTGTGGAATGAATAAATGAATGAATGAGTGAGTGAGCATATTTTTGCAGTTTTGTCTGTATCTATTTAAAATGAAAAATCTATATGCTCTTTGACTCAGCAGTTCCGCTTCTCATATCCAGTCTAGACAAACACTCTAATGTTGCATGAGGAGATATGTCCATTCCATCATGGATTGCAATAGTAAGAACATGAGAATTAACCTAATCAGCCACCATCAGGAGCCTGGCTGAATAAGCAGTTATGTTCCATTTGGCCACTAAAACAAAAGAGCGAGTTTCAACACATAGCTCAAGAAGAGTGAGCGAGGGAGCCTGGAGAAGGCAGAGGTCGGGGGGGCGGGGCGGCAAGCAGAGCCCATGTAGGGCCTTGGGGCCACCCAAGGAGTTTAAATTTGACTCCAGGTGCACCAAGTACACCATTAACCATTAACCATTCCTAGCAGACTGAGCAAAAGAAGGTACCGTATAAATGCTGCTCGTTGCTGTCATCGTTGTTACTGAAGTCTTGCACCATCTGTGGCATAAGATCCTTTCACACACGTTATTGAGAGGCATCGAGAGAAGGAAAGGAAAACTTTAACTTCAAAGTTATTGGCCAATTGTGGGACCCGGATTCGGTAGCCTGGCTTTCTGAACCTCAGTTTTCACCTTTAAAATTGTGAAAGCAGTATTGCCTGTTCTATGGGATGAAAGAGAGATGTGATGTTAATTACCTCCTTCAGAGCCTTATAAGTTCATTTTTCCCCCTTCCTTTACTCTCCCGACAACCCTGCCAGCAGGTATCAGTATCATATTTCATAAGGGAGGAGACTCCCAAGCTGGGCTTGGAGGAGAAACCATCCAGGTAACCAAGGAATGCAGCAAGCCATCCAGGACACGAGCGCAGACCTCTCTACCTAAAACCCATCCTTTTACCCCGCTAAGCATGCTCTTCATTTTGGGGGGCGAATGGATGAGAAGGAAGGAAACCATAATTACAAAATGATTCCCAGAACTAGAAATATTTTTTAAATGCATATTTAAATAGTATCAAAATACTATTTTACAACTATAAGATAAAGATAAACAAAGTTTATTACATTTTTGATAAAAATATAGTGCATGGGCTACTGATGATAGGTCAGCCCCCCTCCCTCAATACAGTCCTTTCCCCAGCCAGTTGCTCATGGAATTGGTGCCTGTACTTCAAGGAAACATGTCAGAGTTTGGCCGAAACTAAAGGTAGATTTATAACCATGGCCTTTGGATAAGCAGGTCCCCCATGAGAAGAGCAGAGAGTGTGTCTTGGGGTCAAGTGTCATCATTTTTACAGAGGAAGGATGGTTCATTTAATATCTTCACCCCAAATTCTAATGGATATTTAAGCCATACATGGTGCTACTGCAGGGACTAGGTGGTTGTAAACTCACTACCCTCAGAACCAGGCAGGAAGTGTGAAGCCAACCATGTGTGCAAAATTCGAGGCCCTCTTGGCCTGTCTTTTCCTGCCTCACTTTTGATAATGTCTTAGGATGTGAAAAAAAGTACAATGCAATAAAAAAATATGATGCCTTAAAATAAGCCTGTGTCTTGGAGACAGTATGAGATTCATTGTAACCTGGAAAACAAACTGGAAAACCTATAGGGTCAGCTTATTGTCACATAGGAACACAGGTGTGGTGTGTTGTTGCTAGACCATTCTATTGCTCAAAAGAAACCATAAGTCTGATTTATTGATGACATCTCCTGATTTTTAAACAAAGAAAATTAATTTCAGATTTTCCTTAAAAATATACAGGTCTAGCAAAACATGACTGTAGGCTAACTTCAGCTCACGAGCCACCAGCTTGCAACTCCTGGTTTGGAAGCTAATAAAACCTGCACGCTGTCTTGACTCAGTAGCTCTTCTGCAGATGATAAGGAAGCATCCTAATCATGTGTCCCTGGTGCTTCTTTTTCCTCCTTCCAAGGCATCAAGACAGAAGACAGCTTGAACCATTCCCCTGGCCAGAGTGGATTCCTCAGCTATGGCTCCAGCTTCAGCACCCCGCCCACTGGACAGAGCCCGTACACCTACCAGATGCACGGTCAGTGTGGTGCTATGGCCCCTCCCTAAAGCATTGGCCAAGTTGGGTGTCCAGTCATTCCTTCATTTATTCAGAAAATTTATTGAGCACCTACTATGTGCCAGAATCTATCTCAAGTAGTGGAGTTACGGCAGTGAGCAGAATAGATATGAGATCTGCCCTCATAGAGACTGATGATAAGCAAGGCAACAAATAAACTGGCTAATTTGGGAGGATTTGAGTGCAATGAAGCAAATAAACATTGTTTGGATAGGGAGTGATTAGAAGTTGTGGGGGAGGGATTAAGAGGTGTGAGATGTGTAACTTTAGATAGAGTCATCAGGAAAGGCCATTTGAAGAGATGACATTGGACAGAGACCCAAAGGGTGACATTGGACAGAGACGCTAGCCGTGTGTAGACCTTGGGGAAGAGCATTCCAGGCAGAGGGAACAGTAGGTGCAAAAACTATATGGAGGAAATTTCCTAACGTGTTTGAGGCACAGAACAAAGGCCAGCGAGGCTGGAACAGAGTCAGGGAGAAGAGAGAGTCTTAGGGAGCAGGGCTGAATCACATAAGGCCTGGGGGGGCTACTGGGTTTGATTTTAAGTGTGTTGGGACAGGAAGTCCCTTGGAGACTCTGAGAAATGCTGGGTGGTGCGAATATTGGACAGGCAATTCAAGGAGCTGTTATTTCAAGCAGGAGGTTTGAGGCTCTGCATCCCCAGAGAGTGACCTTGGAAAGGAAAAAATTCCAGTGTGTAATTCCCATCCCACATACTCTAAGAAGCTGGCTTGCTGGATTCTCCTGTGCCCACCTCCACTCTTTTACCACCCAAGGGTCCCATTGGGAGCATGTTGGGGCTGATGCATGGAGTAGAATGCCAGTGGCAATGATTTTGGGGATCCTCATCTTGGTATTTTTTCCTTCATGAAAGCTGATAAAAGTGACCACCAAGGATTTGAAAAGTAATATACAAAACTGAAGAGGTAATAACAAGGTGGTGGGCTAATGAGTGATTGTACTTTTCTTTAAAAAAAAAACTATTTGCAAGACTTGTCACTTCATCTCATTTAATTAAAGAAACAATAAAAGTGGGTATCAAGGGCAGCCTTTTAGGATAAAACATTGTGAAAGGATGGCAAATGATCTTAGGGGTGTATGTAAGGGAAAGGGGATGGTGGGCGTTCCTCCAGCACTTGGAGTAGCTTCCACGTAAAGGTTAACATCAGAGTTCGTTGGTGACTCCATCAGCTAACATTGACCAACCACTCACCTTGTGCCACCTGATGTTGCTCGATCATCTTATACAATCGTCAAGGGCAGCCTTTTAGGAAAAAACATTGTGAAGGGACGGCAAATGATCTTAGGGGTGTATGTAAGAGGATGGTTGGCGTTCCTCCAGCACTTGGAGTAGCTTCCATGTAAAGGTTAACATCGGAGTTCGCTGGTGACCCCATCAGCTAACATTGACCAGCCACTCACCTCGTGCCACCTGATGTTGCTCGATCATCTTATACAATCTTTATGACACTCCAGAGTGTTAGTGCTAGTATTATTCCCATTTTATTGGAGGGGAAACTGAGGCATAGAAGGAATGAGTGATCTGCAAATGTGATGGGAAATGAACTGAGTCTGGTCTCCTGGGGGTCTGGTAGTATCCCAACCCCCAGCCTCACCTGAAGCTCATGCTTTTTTTTATGGCACTGTCCTACCTCCTCTTCCTCTGCTATAACTTCTGTCACTTCTGCCAGCCCTTCTGAGTCCCATTGAAGTTATAAGCTGCTAGGACCCATCTTCAAGTGGGCAGTGGATTATGGCACCAATCCCAATAATAGCTGAAAACATTGAAACTTGAACATGCATTTGGGTCAGTCTTAAGCCAGTTTTTTCAGCTCTACCAGTAGAAATGGAACTTACTGCCTTAGAGCCTCTAAGGCTATAAAGGTTGAACAGCAAATACGGCCTACCCGCCCCCACTCTTATACCCCGTCCCTGCCCTGCTCTGTAATAAGTGGGTTAAGTTAGGTAGGAGTGACTCCCCATCCATTCATTCATTCATTCTGTATTATTGAGCACCAGCTCTATGCCTGGCACTTTAGCAGTCAGCAAAGACAGTTCCCTTTTGGAGAGCGTTGGACAGTAATCAATTAACAAATAAACAGATGGTTACAGATTTTGATAAAGCTTGTGAAAGACAAGAACAGAGCAGTTTGATGGGCAGTGGCAAGGGGAGTGGTACTTCATGTGACCCAGGTGTTAGGGAGACCTGAGTGATGAGAAGGAGCCAACCAGATGAGCAGCTGGAGACAGGACAGCCCAGGCAGAAGGAACAGCAAGAGCAAAGGCCCTGAGGTAGGAAAAGACTCAAAGTGTTGAGGACTCCAAATGAGACTCGTGAGTCTGGATGTAGTGAGTAAGGGAGATGAAATTGGAAAGTGAAGCAGGAGGCCTCCCTGGGCCAGGATATATAGAACAACGTTATTTCTTCTCTGGTCCTTACAGTAACTGTGGGAGGTGGGCACCATCTGCTCTGCTGTACACATGATGAAATGAGGCTCAGAAAGGGGAAGTGACTTGCCCAAGGTCACAGAGTCAATAAGTGTTCAGAGCTGGGATTTGGACGTGGGTTTCTAGAATTCCAGAGCCTGTGCCAATCCTCCTGGTGCTATTTCCTGGACTCCTGGTCCCCTAAGATCTGCGTATACGCCGTGCCCCTTAATCCTGCCATAGCCCTATGACATAGGTTTTATCATGATCCTCATCTTACAGGTGGAAACGCTGAGACACAAAGTGGTAAATGACACAAAATGGCTGTGGCAGTGGCATTTGAAGCCAAGCAGTTACACTCCAGTGCCCAGAGACAAAACTGCCACACCATCATGCCCTCCAATTCTCGTAGACCCTTCTAGAAGATGATTCTCCATGGGTGAGCCCTGGTCTAGACCCCAGCCCCCACCACCACAATTCCTGCCAGCCCCTCACAGGTGGGAAAACATCTCTTGCTCTGCCTCCCCCTGCCCCGTCAGGAGAATAATCCAGGTTATTTTCTTGTCTTCCCATGGCCAAGATGCCAGAAGGGCTTCAGCAGCAGCTGGACTTTGTCCCAATTAAGTGCTTTCAGTCTAATGCTAATGGCCATAAACTGCTCTTGAGACAGCCAGGCATTTTGCAAGCCTGACATAGCCCTTACTTTTTTCAAACACAAACACACAGAACACTCACACACCGTGACCATGTGCTTCCTATTAACTTTTTTTTTTTTTTTTGCAAGTTGCTCCAGAGGAGAAATAAACTCTTGTGTGTATTTCAGAATGGAAGGCGGTGGTTGAGCTTAGCTTCAGACAAAGAAGGGAATGAAGAGGGGACTGAGATGGATTGAATTTTAGGCCTGAAAGCACTGACTTGGAATGAAGTTGGTCCACGTTTAGAAGCTGAAATGGATCTTTTCCTTTCTAAGAATTAAATTATAATTTTTTAGAAGCAAAAGAACCTGAGTAGGGACCACCCCATCATTTTACGGGTGAATAAACCAAGGCACTGCAGCAGAGTGGCTTGTGTACGGTCACAGAGCAAGCACTGGATAAGCCAGATGCCTCCCCAGGTCTTATGCCAGATCTCAGAAACTTCCAGAAACTTCCGCAGAGCCTTGCCCATCAAGGCCCTGGTTTGAGATCTGTATCTGTTTAGATAACACTGCCTCTCAACCAAACGTACAATAAACGTAAAAGAGAAAAGTTCACAGCACTAGTTCAGCCTTTGCATAATTGTTTGTTTTCTTTTTTTCAAGTTCACCCAGGGGTTTTTATAGCTGAAATGTATTTCTTATGGGTTTGATTTTTTTGTTGTTGTTGTTTCTTTTTGGCTTCTCCTGCTCAAACACTGCTATTTACAGAAATGACCACAAAGATTAAAAAGAGAAGGGAAAAAAACCCTCTTGAGAGTGTGCTGTAAGAACTTGCTGGAGTTTAAGGGCTCTGGAGCTGGGGCGCGGTCAGTCCTGGCTGTGTCCCACACACCATGGCACAGATCGGGTGAGATGCTCGCGTTCTCTGTGCCTCAGTTTCCTCACTTGTGGAACTGGCATCATAGCAAGAGAGGTGACCGCATTGGGGCTGTCAGGGAGTCTAAGTGGAATGAGTTCTGGGCACATAGATGAGGACATAAAGGTTGGGTGTTCTTTTCATTATTCCCATTATTCCTTTCGTAACATGGTAGTTAAAAGCAGTTACTCTGAAATCAGACTAACTTCCCAGTTCTACCATGTACCAGCATGCGACAATGACCAAGTTACTTCTTAGTACCTCAGTTTTTCCCATGTAAAATGGGGACACTAATAGTACCTGTGACAATTAAATGAGTTATTATATGTGAGATATTAAGACTAGCACCTGGTACAAACTAAGTGCTCTACAGATATTATTATTATTATTGTTATCCTAATTTCAGGTTTGATGGTCTGTGTTCTTCCCAAATTCACATCTCTTTCTTGAACTCTCAGTTTTAACTAGCTGCGATCAAAGAAAAGAGGAATGTGAATTTGAAAGTGTCGAGCCATCACATCAGCGTAAACTCCCCATTTTAGGAGGACTTAAAAACAGTGGGAGCCCTCTTAAATGGAAATGTCTTTGTATTTACCAAAGGCCAAAGAACATTAATGCTGAAGCTCAAAACCCAACAGGAGCCATTCAGGAGCAGCATGGAGATCTGTGCCTCAAGGAGGCACAGGAAAATTAAGAGTCCTGTGAAAGGATTTGTAAGCCAGTGATCTCTACCCAAGAGAGATCAAGGCAAGTTTGTGTCAGATTCACGAAATCTACCACCGTCGCTGGCACTTGAAATCCATGTGACTTTGGACAAGTCACTGAACTCGCATCATCTGTGTTTCACAGCTCTAGCGCTCACAGATGCTCACTGAAAAATTAAAGATGTCAGAGAAGGTCATGGTCAGATGAATCAAATACATTTGGTAGATGGAGTGTGGCATATAGTTAAATAGGTGTCTTTGCCGCAGGACTTTT